TATGGCTAAAGAGTTCGGTGTTGGGCTGGACGGGCAGACGGCGGGAGGGGTCGGTATCTTTGTTCTGAGAGAGGCCAGGACATTTCTAGGCAGGGAATCTCCCCCCTTCTTACCTTGCTGAGGTGGGTTTCGGGTCCCAGGGGCAGCTGCTCCCGTCTGCTCCTCTTCGGTTTCCCTGGACGTCTCCGTCTCCGACTGATGCTGCCTCACCCATTTATTTCCTCTTGGACTTTTATCAGCGCTTAAACATTCATCCAGCCAGCTGCTCCCGGGCATGACTCACCCTTTTCCTGCTCCGCCCACCTCCCCGGCACATGCCCCAGGGACACACCATGGGGGCTTGCCACGCCAGGCCAGGAGGATGGGGAATGCGGGGTGGGAGCAGGGCCCAGCATGAAACAAGGGAACCAGGACACCTGGGCTGGCTCTGTGGCTCGGGCAGGGGAGTGGGGTCTAGTGGTTAGAGCGGGGTGGGGGGGATGGGCTAGGAGGCAGGACTCCTGGGTTCTCTCCTCGGCTCCGGGACTGATTTTCACTGGATGTTCGGATGTTGAGGCCAGCGCTGACCGACCCACAGCACCATCGAAGGGCCGATTCAGATGATTCCTGTTATTTACTGGGGCATCGTTCCAGGACGGGCGATTTCTCGTGGGGTCCGTGGCGGCTTCGTGGCCGATGGCTTCAGAATAAACTGCTGGTGTGGGCCAAACCTGCCCTGAGTGTCCTGGTCTCTGTGTGGGGAGGGGTGTGATTTCTGGGTTGATGCAAAGTCCGGGGGTACAAAAGGGAGTTTGGGGCAGGACGAACTGGTGGAAATGCGGCCGGGAGCATGATTAAAAGTGAGTCCAGGGACCCATCTCATGCAATGAAACCCAGCGCCCCCTAGTGCCGCCCTGCAGCATTTGGGCCAGCTCTGACATCTAGGGGAGACAGCCCCCTGCCGAGCCCCCCACCCCGCTCCCCGCAGCCCAGCGCCCCCTAGTGCTGCAATCTGACATTGGGGCCAGCCCTGACCCCTAGGGGTGAGCGCCCCCTGCTGGGATCCCCCTCTCCCTACACCCCAGCGCGCTGACACCCAGTAGCCAGTTGGGACAGCGCGTGACACGTCCACAATGCTGCTGCCTCCGTATTGTCCCAGCCGCCCCAGGCCCTTGGCTGCGCGGGGAGGAAAGCGACAGGCGAGGGCCTGGGAGAGCCCAGATTGCTGAGAGCTGCCTGTGAGCAGATCCATGGCTTTGTAACGGCCAGAGCCTGGACAGGGAGGGATGGGGGTGTATGGGGCTAGCTAGAAGGGGCTATGGGGATAGATGGGGGCTATGGTGGTAGCTAGACGGGGATATGGGGATAATGGGGGACTATGGGGGTAGCTAACTGGGGGCTATCGGGGTATGTAGGGGGGCTATGGGGGTAGCTAGATGACACATGACTGCAGGGAGTGGAGCTGGGTAGAGCTTGGTCACTTTGGCCCCTAGGGGTCAGTGTCCCCCCCTCTATGGGATCCCCAGCCGAAGTTACCAGCTGGAGTGTCCTGAACTCAGCTCCCCCGGGGTCAATCTGGGCTCACTCCCAC